CCAAATACAGTTTCTTATAAGTATTCATATTTCTGAATATCTACCATTTACAGTCTGCTAACATGCATATTATTGTCCAGCATGAAATTTGCTTCAAAATGGATATAGCTATGACAGGGCTCGGAGATCTATTTCTCATTGGAGTGGTGTGGAGACCTAATTCTCTCTGTTACCTCCTAGCATAGGAATGTTTGGGTTCAGAATACTACCCAATAACTTATGAAGGTGAATATGACTTTATTCTGGCTGTGCTGTCATAATTTCAGAAGTTATGAAACATGCTGAAGTCTTAGAGTCTCAGCTCATAAGCAGTATATCATAAATGTGTATTGCACAGGCTTCCACTAAGGTATTTTTGGCCCAATGTCTGTCAGTTCCCCAGATTGCTCAAGCTTGTGAGGATGACAGTTTTATTAAGGTTTCTAGACTGGAATGGGGGATTGAACTAAACATGAGAGGGCTGGTATCGGTCTTGGTCTGATAAAAAGGCTCTGGCATCAGTTAACAGCACTATAGGCTTCCTGGGGGGATAAAGAGAAGGGAACCACTGCTGCTATTTACCAACGTGTGCTACAAACTGTTATGGCTGAATCTGAACAATATGGCCTCCTTGCCCTTCCGCGCAGCTTGGAAGTGCTCATTACGCATCACCATTACAGACTTTACTTCCACTTTAAGTTGTTCAAGATGAAAGCTTTTGAAATAACAGATCCCTTTTTCAGACTTTATACAAATGTACAGTATAAATGTGCAATATCTGAAGAAGGTAACTAATTTATTCAGAAAGTTTGCATCTTTTACCAACTTAACCCTTTTGCTGCTGGGTCTGTATGGTGTACGGACCTACAGCACTGCTTCCAGCAGGTCCGTACGGACCTCTATTCCTTCTTTGCTTCAGTGACCATGAACCTATAGCAGAACTGTTCAGCAGACTCCGCTGCTTCCTTCACTTCAGCCTCTCCACCTTCCGCCGCTGCTGTTTTTTTTTTTTTTTAATTAATTGTTCCCCCACACGCAGACCTGATACCCTGCAGCTACACTCTGCTGCTGTCTTCTCTCCTCTGCCTCTCCCGCCAGCTTGCTGCAGGGGCTTTGAAGCATAATAAAAGCCCCCCCAGCCACTCTGAACCCCCCCCCCCCACTCACTGATTCTCTGCTGCTGGGGGGGGTTGGTACACATGATCGCTCCTATATCCATTGGTAACTAAGCATAGTAAACTGTGTTTACCATGTCAGTTTATGAATGAAAAGGAGGCTCTATACAGACTCCTCATTCATTCATGTAATGTGCAGCACAGGCTGCAGACAGAGGAACCGTCTTCATTCCTTTTCTCTGTCTCAAAAAAGAGACACCAGGGGTCTATTTTGTCCCCTGATATCTCGCCACAGCCCCCCCCCCCCAAAAAAAAGTATAAAATATTTTAAATAAAACTTGTAATACTGTAAATAAATAATAAAAAACCACAGTAAGTAGGGATGAACCAATACCCTTTTTTTTTTTCAAAACGGCGAGTACGAGTATCGATACTTTCGGTCAAGTACTCGATACTGAGTAACGATACATTGCAGCGTGATTTGTGTCCATACAAAATGAATGGGTGCGAATCACAACTGCAAAGAATGGCGTGCAATTTGAACAAGAATGCTGTGCGATTCTTGACCCCACCGCTCCTGTGTGAACTCAGGCTTGTCATAGTGATTTCAGGATGGGTTCACATAGGAGCGGTGCAGGTAACCACATGCGATTCAGACAGGAATCACACCGCATTTCTGTTAAAATCACATGCCATTCTTTGCAGTGCGATTTGCGTCCAGTCATTTTGTATGGACGCAAATTGCCCCACAAAGTATAGGTTTTGGGTATCATTTTCATGAATACGAGTACTCATGAAAGTACTCGGTATTGCCACTGCTACCAATACCGGTATCAGTGCATCCCTAATAGTAAGGCATTGTTCACACAGAGCATACACAGTGTATTCCCCTGCAAGGCTGTGTTTACCCACACAGGGATGCACATGTGTTCTGTACATCCTTGTGCAGGCAGTCCCATTGATGTCATTTAGGATGTAGCAGCTGTAAGAACGCAGCCGTTGCTTCCAATTTGACATTCATGTAGGTCTGGGTGCATGTTCCTGAGCTCATGCTGTCTGTGTTCGAGGTCGTGCACCCAAATCCACACAGATGTCAGATTGAGAACAGTGGCTATGCCCATGCCCATGCCCATGACATGAATGGGACTGCCTGCATGGGTATGCATGGAACACCTGGGCTTCCCCGTGCGGGTAAACATGGCCCTCCAGGGCCATACATTTTAGTACACCACATGTGAAAAAAGGCTTAGAAGCAGTATAGCATGAATTAAAAAAAGTTATGTAGTGTTTGTGTGCACTAATGATTTTAGCGTATTTTTTAGTAAAAAAACGATCTGATGAACATTTATGTAACTACTGCGGGGCTTAAAAAAATCAGTAGCACTTTTTTTTTATTCTACAGGTCATGTGCTTTCAGAAAATGTATGGTTTGGGGTGTCTTTTCAAATTCTGAAAGCTGTAAGTGAAAAATTGTAACCTCCAGATTTTAAAACTAAATTGTTTTTATTTAGTTTCACGCACATTCGGTTTTCATCATTTCACAAAAAGGAGCTATTTAAAATTTACAAATATTTGCTATTTATTAACTCAATACAATTTTAGCTTTTATCATTATCAGGAATTTAGCACGAGATTTGTAAATTTTGCCTTGATTGTATCCACTAATAATGACTTTAGTATATTTTAAGTGAAAATAGCAATTTGATGCACATGTGCACAACTACTGTGGGGCCTAGATATCAGCCCAGATATCAGACCACCAGGAGTTCCTATACAAGAAGGATCCAGTAGAGATCCGTCAGCCTTTGTGGCCCCTAGGTATCGTTGAGTGGAGGTGAGAGGCCACTGCAGCCATTTTTAGGAGCACCTATTGGTGGGTTATGGTTGTTCTTGCATGATCCAGAAGACTGAAGCACTTCAGCTGTGTTCACATGTTTGTTTACATTTTTTGGACTTTGTTATATTTGTGCTAATTTATTTGCATATGATGAGCACCTATCCTTCTACAGGGATCCATGCATTTATAGGTTGAGTCCCAGCTGTGGGGACAAAGGGTCACATGTATATTGATCCCCCAATGGGATTGGGTTCAATATATGCCAGTCACTTTTTAGGTCTGTTGTAACCTTATTTGTTTTGGAGCACACAGTGTCACCTAGTTTTCATATATGTTATTTGCATTGTTTATCTACTTGGTATTGAGCGCTACACCATTCTTTTATTATATTTCATTCGACCTACAGGTATAGGACTAGGTGTTTAGCTGCTGTTAAATTCCTATATGTTTACATCTTAGCGCGGGGGGACCTTTTTTGTTATATATTTACCTGTGGTAGTTCATTGAGTCTTCCTGTTAGTATTGGCTTGCCTGTACGGGATGTACGGCAAGCAAATAAAACTGACAGGTCTGCAGGAGACCTGCATAGCATCAGCAATCTGCAGACTGCTGGTGCAATGCTTTACAGGCTCCTACTACAAAAAATAATAAATACACATTTTTTTACCTGCAAAAAAAGTGTGCATTTATTACTTTTTGTAGAAAGGTGAACTTTCCCACTTACAAAGGTATCATCACTGTGAAGTTTTTGAGGGTGTTTTTGTGTTAAAAAAAAAGTGCCTCAAAAGTTCAAGAAAAAGGCTTCCCTATGTTTGTGAATGTATATCTTTGTATGTTTTCACACTGAGGCATTGCGCTTGTGGTGCGGTGTAAGGCTACTTTCACACTGATCCACCGCAAAAATACACAGGTGTTTTTATCACACTTTTACCGCGCTTTCTGGATGTTTTTTAAAGGACACGTGAGTTAAAAACTGCACCAAAACCGGTTCTCAGCAACGTTTTTGAGGCATTTTTAAGGCGCTTTTCAGGCGTTTTCCATTGATTTCAATGGGAAGAGGCGTTTTTGTTTTTTTTTTAACTCCCCAAATATGCCCCAAAGATGCTGCAAGCCGGAGGTTTTACACCGCACCACAAGCACAACACCACAGTGTTTTATCGCAAAAACTCTTCAGTGTGAAAACAGCCTTAAAACTCCTGCTTGCAGCATCTTTGGCTCTGAGGAAGAGGTTGTGTCCTCGAAACGCGTTAGCAAGTTGGTCATCCAGGGTTCCATCGTATGGACTCAGATGTTGTTTGGATCATACACCTTGTTCAGTTTGACATGCCTGTGTTATTATGTCCATTGTGAGTATGATACCTATTTTTGTTTCTTTAATAAATTATTTTAAACAATAATGACCTAGGTCGGTGCACCCTTTTTCTGTTTCTCCATTTGCAGCATCTTTGGGGCATGTTTGGTGAGTTAAAAAAACGCCCCAAAAATACCTCTTCCCATTGAAGTTAATGTAAAACACCTGAAAACGCCTGAAAAGTGCCTCAAAAACACCTGAAAAGCGCCTCAAAAACACCTCTGAGAAGCATTTTTGATGCAGTTTTTAAGTCACGTGTCTTTTAAAAATGCTCTGAAAGCTCAGCAAAAGCACAGTAAAAACGCCAATGCTGTGTTTTTGCAGCGGATCAGTGTGAAAGTAGTCTAACACTACGAATTGTATGCATTAACTGATGGCTAACATGGTACAATACTCTACTACTCCACTTGTTTTGAAACATTCTCTCAAATTGCACATTACCGGTAAAACCCATCTTATTGATACAAATACAATTCAGAAGGCCTGCCACTGAAAATTCTATTTGAAGATTTACTTTGTCATTTGTGCAAACAGGCAAATGAATCTTTGGCATCAGACCTGGAGGGCTGCAAAAAAAGAATTAATTGATCCCATGTCACAGGGAAATAAAAGCTCCAGGATTGTCTATCTCGTATTGATAAAGTAGCATTGTAAAATAAATGTAGAAAACATCTCTTAAAAGCAATTATCATCCAAATATGTTTTACTTTTGCTTTAGAAAACCCCAGTTACACAGCTGGTCTTTGCATATGAAACCTTAGACAAAGCAATCAAAGAGTTGTCAATTTCACGTTCAAAAGGCTCTGTAACAAGTGGAGAAGTGGTGGACCACTACATCACGAGGGTGAGTCTACAGAATTTTTGTTAATGATTTTGTTCATTGTAAAGTGAAACATAGCGTTGGAAACACAGGAGTAAAAACTGCCTTAGATGATTTGCAGCTGTTGCCTATAGAATGCAAGCCGATTGCAGATGCATCTTTTACTTGGTACTCATGACGACAATATCAGCCAAATGATTTTTTTTTTGTGCATTACATGCATCACATAAATGTGTGGTGGCAAAGTGGCCTCCCTGCACTGGATCTCGTACCTAGTACGAGCTCCCTGTGCCCACCGGCCTGGCTGTGCTGTGATTCATTACAGCACTTTCCGATCACTGGGTCCCGGCCAGGGATTGACTGCAGGAACCCAGTGATCGCCTCAGTCTTTCACCAAATACAGCTCTGTGATTGTAAACAGTTTTTTTGCCAAAATTTATGAAGAGATTTTATTTTTTTAATTCAAAATGTTTTATAACAGAAAGTAAAAAACATTTTTTTTTTTAACTTGTCAGTATTTTTTGTTTTTATCACAAAAAAATCATTGGTGATCAAATACCACCAGCTCTATTTGTGTGAAAAAAATATATACATTTTGTTTGGGTACAGCATTGCATGACTGCGCAATTGCCAGTTAAAGTAGAGCCGCATAGCAAAAAATGGTCTGGTCAGAAAGGGGGTAAATCCTTCTGGAGGGCAAGTGACTAGTCTCAAATAGTAATTATTAAGTTATGCAAATTCTCGTAAGACAGAATTCAACTTTGGAAGGGATGTGATGTAATGTAATGTACGTAATGTATACTTTCATTGCTGGGTCTTGGTTGCTCCATTTCTTTCGTACACATACTGTGCTAATTACACTCAAATCATTCGTTCTGTTATCATAGAAGAAAAATTTCCATGCTTGTCCCTTTGGATATTTTTACATGATCAGCTTTCGAAAGCTGTGTACTAACGAACAGATTACCAATCGTTCCGAATGTGTTTTTTTTTGTCTGATATTCTCATTGTGTGTACTAGGCACAAGTCAGTGCAGATTACAGTATTACATTGTAAAACAATCATGCAATTGGTGATATGGAAACATCACACTCTTTCTTCACTCTTTTAAAATAAAGTTTATTGAATGCATATGATGTTGAAAGCTGATTCACACGTGAGGTGTGGGATGAAGCTCAGGTTTCACACCTAAATGACACAGTAGTTATTCAGTGGTTCAGGACAGGTTTAGATCAGGTTCAGGACAGGTTTAGATCAGGTTTAGGTCAGGATTTTATCCTGTTCACAACTGATGACACGTGCGGTTAAGAAATGTTTCCCATGGAAGTCAATAGCCTGTAATCCACACCTGATCTGGACTGCACTGCTCAGAAATCAGACATGACTCTTATTCAATCCACACTGAAACAGCACTGATAGTGCACCAGACATATGTGGACAGGTATAGGAAACAATGTTTTTTTTTTTCACATGTCATGCAGAATAGATACGGTTCAGATCGCATCCAAGCCACATATATGTGAACCGGTAATGAGTGTTTATCTTGCATGACGGCAAAACCCTTCAGTGTGCTGCTTCCTCGTCAGCCCCCCTTGTATTTATCTTAGCCTGATCTTGATCCAGCGATGTGCACGAGAGCACCGGCTCTCACAGGTCTCTCCCTCCTCATTGGCTGAGCCACAATATAAATATAAAGGTGAAAAGGTACACTTATTGGCCAGCAATTTTCCCCTAGAATATTTGTCACCAATCTAGCATTCAGCAAGCTGAATGTCTGCCCAGGATCTAAGGTAAAAGATGAGGAGTTGAGATGTCAGCAGGAAGCAGGTCCCTTTGAAAACGTGCATGTGCACAAAATGTATGAGAGAGAAACGTACGTGCTGACGTCACACCGCCGAGTCTATGCATGGTCTGGCGGCCATTCATGTAAGTTCGGCCGCTGTTATTTTCATGTACTCAACGTGGAATTTTATCGCTACTTTGATAAAGTACTACACTATGCATATCTCCTTGGACTTCATGTGTGAGCTTTTTTATTAAAGTGCATCTTGGTCACTTCGGTTGGAGTCCGCTGTGAGGAAGGAGTCAAGGAGGCCATTGCATAGTATATCATTTTAGGCATATGTTTGCCAGATTTCTGGTGAGTGCATAGGCAGGGTGAAGGTCCCACAGAAGAGGTGTCACCACTGCATTGTTGTCACTGATCTTTGTTCAGTAGTCAGTGGACTCCAGGGGCGGACTGACCATTTGGCCACTCGGGCACTGCCCGAGGGCCTGGGGTCAGTAGGGGGCCCCATGAGATGCCCCTGGTACCTTTAATTGGCTTTTTCATAGGCTTTTTTTTGGCTGTGGGTGAGGAAACAGGGGCCCCATGATCCACTATTGCCTGGGGGCCCCATGAGTTGTCAGTCCGCCCCTGGTGGACTCTATTATATATTAGTCACTTTTGCACTTTTACACTTACTTTTGGTGTTTATTGATGTATGTTATTTCCACTAACATTACATGTCTTATGGTTCTTAATGGTATCATATGATTCACTTGTTTTATGATTGTGAATTGCTATCTACAATTCATAAGTAGCAACTTTAGCGCTGCACATTTTGTTTTCTATTATGTATAATCCTACTCCAAAGAACCAGCTAAAGAGGGAAGAGTTTTATCTTTTAATTTTAGGTATGCTGTATAAATGGGAACACATAACATACATACTTTGGAGGTCTCTTATATTTGACCACAAAGGTGGAAATACACTATAAAGCCATAGTCCTCTCTTTATTCCTGGTAACACAGTGCATTACTATTTTTAACAAATGGCGACATATACATCTATCATAAAAATATTTAATGTCCTACTAACAGCTTACATCTGGGGTTCACTGGACATCTGGATAAATAATCCTGTCCCAAGTCGTAGTTCTTTCTTATATTTACTTCTTCTTATTCAGCTGAATGTATGAAAAAGGCATGTATTATGGAGATTTCTTGATGACTGAATATTTAATGATTTGTAAATTCTTAGTTGTCTTTGAAGTAATGTTTGTTAGGATTATAAACTAATTAAAAAACAACAACACAAATGCATACTAATCCTTTCTCTCTGTGTTTTCTGTCAGCTGGGTGTAAAGAGACAGCATGAAAATAACACAGCTGAAGTGCAGAGATGCTCCTCCAAGTCACTCACACATAATGTGACGATGATGGATTTACAGCTTGAGCTAATTGTGGCTCAGCATCGCGTGTCAGTCAAAATCCTCAATTGTCTACAAGGTAAATGATGACCCTGACGTGATATACCTGCTTAAAGTCATGATTGTTATGACAGTGCCCATCAATACTTTACACAATGAAGCCAATTAACATGCTAATGCAGCTGAGTTGATTGAAAATATGGATAAACTTGCATAAATCTAAGTATCAGTCTATAGACATACTCTGCAACATTTAATAATAGTTTTTTTCACAAAAATGTCTGAATTTGCTGCGTTTAAAGGTTTTAACTAAAGACTTTACATAAAATGTTCCACCTGCCTAGAAACATTCAAACATTAAACAATTGCAGATTTGTAGGTTAATATCAAGTCCTGCCCCCACATTTAAAATAAATGCTCAAGATGTTTTGGCTGGAGTTCCACTTTAACCATGACCCAAGCTTTTTACTTAGAGAATAGGTGCAGGTACTCCCCCCCTTCTGAGTTGCCCCTTGTCTCCACCCCTTACCCACCTCCAAGTACTGCCCCTTTTATAGAATACAACACCAAGTATCATTTTGTGGTGCTACGTAATTTGTATATAATTTGTTAATAGTAACAAAAAAGTAGTAAAATAGGTCCTCTGCAGCCAGCAATAATAGACCACCCCAGCAACAATAGACCCTCCTGTAACAAAATTCTCTCAACAACCATAGATTCACCCCAGCAACAATAGACCTCCGATAGCAATAAGAGTCCTCCCAGCAGCCAACATCAATCTACCCTCCAACAGCTAGCAACAATGGAGGGTAGATCCCTCGACAGTAGATCCCTCCCAGCAGCAATTTATTGCAATTTATTGCTCCCCTTCCCCGCCAGCAACAATAGGTCCCCTACAAACGATAGACCCACAACAATAGTTGGCACTCAACAACACTAGATCTCTCAGCAGCCAGCATCAATAGACTGTCCATCACACTCCAACACTCCTTTCCATTACATGCATTCATTGCTGGAGTTGCTAGACCTGCGTTCCCCATGTTCACACTGACCATGGCGTAGAATTCCCAGAGCCCAGGGCCAGCTGCCTAGGGTGCAATGCCGCCTAGAGTGCAATGCCACCTAGGGGCACCTGGGCACAGCACAGGCTGGTACTCTCTCTGTGTGACCTATGGATCTCTTGTATGAATTTTCCATTTCTCTGCAGAGTCCCCCTCTCCTCCTACACAGGGAATAATGAGGGAATGATGGTATCTCTGTACAACTGTCCACACACATGACCATTTAGTGTGTGTGTGTGTATATGTATATATATATATATATGTCCAAACCCTACTGCTCTCTTATCTCTACAGCACAGGTGCTAATTATTCTGTAGTCCAAGATGAGAACAACCAAAATGCAACCAAAAATTACATCACTGGGGTCGAATCACTTATTAGTAATTCATGTTTCTTTAACAGCATCAATCACAGGCAACACATTATCAATTTGTTATAGCAACTGTACAATGTATTTTTCACAGACATGTGTGCAAACAGTTTTTATCTTGGGTGTGTTAGACCATAATATGTATCCATGTCTTTTGGTTTTAGTGGATGGTGTACAGATGAGATCAGCTAAAAACTGCAACCAGAACAAAAACAGTGAGCCTATACATTTCTACACAGGTAAATTAAAGCACCGATAATGTGATAAATATGAACTTATGTCTGTACACTATCAATATGTGAACGAAGTTATATATTGTTTTTCTTATGGATTGCAGAAACGGAGATAATTGACAATATCAACAAGAATAACCTGTCCAAAGCCATATTTTTAATGCAGAAGGCAGTACTATTTGCTAAGGGACTACAGAGTTCTCCTAATAAGCTACTGGAGGTAAATCTCAGATCACATTTATCTAAATTTATGGTGATCATACTTTAGGTATGTTGGTGAGTACGCAGAAATTTATTGCAACATATATGTTTGTGTTTGTTATTGGTTTGATTGGTACACTTCTGGGGTGCCTGAACAATTATAGTTTGTTGGTGTTAGAAAAAAGGTAAACAAAATCTCTTTGAAGCTTGCCACCTCCTTTATGTCTTGAGCACATTGTTAGGTCTTCATATGTATGTGATCTGTGGAAGGTGTCTCAGAAACAATCATGTTGCAGCTGAAAATAAACCACCAGATCAGGGATTATCAACCTGCAGAACTCCAAGTGTTAAGGAGCTTTTCATCATACCCCGATACTATTAGAACGTAAGAGAACAAGAGGATAATTGCTAGTGCAATAATACTGCAGATTGGAGTTCAAGGGTACTTTGTGCAGGTTCACGAGATACTTTTGGCCCTCAAATTAACATTACACTTTGCTTTCTATTTTTCAGTGCTAAACAATTGTGTTTTTACTTCAGTTGTTTATGGCGCAAATCCGGCTGACCAACAGATTGCCATGCATTGTGTGGCTTGATAATCTCAGCAGCTGTTAAGCAAAAAGAAGAGCGATAGCTCTTAGTCACTTAGAGTGCTCTCTCTAGTGTCTTGTTTACAAATCTCTATATTTAAAGCTGAATGCTTGGGAATATTTTTTATTGCATAGTTACATGAATCCAGCTTGGACCTATGTAATTATGCATACTTTATACCTATTGGAATTGCTAGGGAAGCTTAAAATCTTTTTAGTAGTCGCCACTACTACAGTAATTGCCACTATCTTCTGTGCCAAGCAACTGCATAGTGTTCACGGTGGACATCATGATGTGTGTATATATACAGTGCCTTGAAAAAGTATTCATACCCCTTGAAATTTTCCACATTTTGTCATGTTACAGCCAAAAACCTAAATGTTTTTTTTGTGATTTTATGTGATAGACCAACACAGGGCAGCACAGTGGCTAAATGGTTAGCACTTTCGCCTGGCAGTACTAGGGTCACTGGTTCGAATCCCAGCCATGTCATCACCTGCCTGGAGTTTGCATGTTCTCCCTGTGCCTGCGTGAGTTTCCTCCAGGTACTTCGGTTTTCTCCCACACTCCAAAGACATGCTGCTAGGTGAATTGGATCCTGTCTAAATTGTCTCTAGTATGTGTATGTATGAATGAATGTAAGTTAGGGACCTTACATTGTATGCCCCTTGAGGGTTAGGGACTGATGTGAATGTACAATATATATGTAAAGCGCTGCGTAAATTGATGGCGCTATATAAGTACCTGAAAAAAATAAATAAATAACACAAAGTGGCACATAATTGTGAAGTGGAAGGAAAATGATAAATGGTTTTCACATTTTTTTACAAATAAATATCTGAAAAGTGTGGTGTGCATTTGTATTCAGCCCCCTCTGAGTCAATACTTTGTAGAACCACCTTTCATTGCAATTACAGCTGCAAGTCTTTTTGGGGATGTCTCTACCAGTTTTGCACATCTAGAGAGTGACATTTCTGCCCATTCTTCTTTGCAAAATAGGTCAAGCTCTGTCAAATTGGATGGAGAACGTCTGTGAAAATCAATTTTCAAGTCTTGCCACAGATCCACAATTGGATTTAGGTCTATATTTTGACTGGGCCATTCTAGCACATGAATATGCTTTGATCTAAACGATTCCATTATAGCTCTAGGCTGTATGTTTAGGGTTGTTGTCCTGATGGAAGAGAACCTCCGCCCCAGTCTCAAGTCATTTACAGACTCTAACAGGTTTTCTTCTACGATTGCCCTGTATTTGGCTCCATCCATCTTCCCATCAACTCTGACCAGCTTCCCTGTCCTTGCTGAAGAAAAGCATCCACACAACATGCCACCACCATGTTTCACAGTGGGGATGGTGTGTTCAGGGTGATGTGCAGTGTTAGGTTTCCGCCACACATAGCATTTTGCTTTTAGGCCAAAAAGTTCAATTTTGGTCTCATCTGACCAGAGCACCTACTTCAACATGTTTGTTGTGTCCCCCACATGGCCTCTCGCAAACTGCAAAGAAGACTTCTTATGGCTTTCTTTCAACAATGGCTTTCTTCTTCCCACTCTTCCATTTGTCAGATTTGTGGCATGTACAACTAATACTTGTCCTGTGGACAGATTCTCCCACCTGAGCTGTGGATCTCTGCAGCTCCTCAAGAGTTACCATGGACCTCTTGGCTGCTTCTCTGATTAATGCTCTCCTTGCCCGGCCTGTCAGTTGGACGGCCATGTCTTGGTAAGTTTGCAGTTATTCCATACTCTTTCCATTTTTGGATGATGGATTGAACAATACTCTGTGGGATGTTCAAAGCTTGGGATATTTGTTTATAACCTAACCCTGCTTTAAACTTCTCCACAACCTTATCCCTGACTTGTTTGGTGTGTTCCTTGGGCTTCATGATGCTGTTTGTTCACTAATGTTCTCTAACAAACCCCTGAGGGCTTTACAGAACAGATGTACTTATACTGAAAATAAATTACACACAGGTGGACTCTATTTACTAATTAGGTGACTTCTGAAGGCAATTGGTTCCACTAGATTTTAAGTTCACCTTTTGGATGATTTGCAGGTAAAAAAATGTGCATTTAATATTTTTTCCAAAGGAGCCTGGAAAGCATTGCACCAGTAGATGGCTGATGCTATGCAAGTCTCCTGCAGACCTGTCAGAATATCTGCTGGCTGTACAGGATGTACAGCCAAGCAGATATACTGACAGGAAGCTTCAATGAACTACCATGGCGCTCCATAGCGCTGTGGTAGTGCGCTGAAAACTACAAGCCAACAGCCACCCAGGCTGTCAGGATCTGTATGCACTCATTCACAGAACTCTGTGAATGAGTGATGCGGCCGTGTGGGCGGTGCCCCGCATGGCTGCACTGTTTTTAAATCTGACAGATAGTATGGGGAAACTTCTCTCTGTACTATCTATCATAGGGAGGGGGGTGGTAGGCACAGCTGCAGCTATGGGAACATGTTATATGTTCCACCATAAAAACAGGTGGAACATGTAACATGTTCCAAAGGTGAACTTATCCTTTAAGGGTATCAGAGTAAAGGGGGCTGAATACAAATGTACGCCACACTTTTCAGACATTTATTTTTTTCTAATTTTGAAAACAATTTATCATTTTCCTTCCACTTCACAATTATGTGTCACTTTGTGTTGGTCTATCACATAAAATCCCAATAAAATACATTTATGTTTTTGGTTGTAACATGACAAAATGTGGAAAATTTCAAGGGATATGAATACTTTTCAAGGCACTGTATACATACACTCACTGGCCACTTTATTAGGTATACCTTGCTAGTGCCGGGTTGGACCCCCTTTTGCCTTCAAAACTGCCTTAATTCTTTTTGGCATATATTCAACAAGGTGTTGGAAACATTCCTCAGAGATTTTGATCCATATTGACATGATAGCAACACGCAGTTGCTGCATATTTGTTGGCTGCATATCCATGGACCGTTGATACAAGGCAGGATGGATCCATGCTTTCATGTTGTTTACTCCAAAATTCTGACCCAGCCATCTGAATGTCGCAGTTAAAATCGAGACTCACCTGCCCAGTCAATGTTTTTCCAATCTTCTATTGTCCAGTTTTGGTGAGCCTGTGTGAATTGTAGACTCTGTTTCCTGTTCTTACCTGACAGGAGTGACACCCGTTGTGTACTCCTGCTGCTGTAGCCAATCTGCTTCAAGGTTTGACATGTTGTGCATTCAGAGATGGTATTCTGCATACCTTGGTTGTAGAAAGTGGTTATTTGAGTTGCTGTTGCCTCTCTCTCATATCAAACTAATCTGCCCAGTCTTCTCTGACTTCTGACATCAACAGTGCATTTTCTTACACACAACTGCTGCTCCCTGGATATTTTATCTTTTTCGGACCATTTTCTGTAAACCAGAGAGATAGTTGTGCGTGAAAATCCCAGTGAATCAGCAGTTTTTGAAATACTCAGATCAACCCCGTCTGGCACCAACAATCATGCCACATTCAAAGTCACTTAAATCCCCTTTTCTCCCCCATTCTGATGCTCGGTTTGAACTTCAGCAAGTCATTTTCACCACATCTAGATGCCTAAATGCATTGAGTTGCTGCCATGTGATTGGATGATTAGCAATTTGTGTTACCAAACAATTTAACAAGTGTACCTAGTAAAGAGGCTGGGAAGTGTATATATACTGTATGTATTGTGACAGGACGACACTCTATCACTGTGAGAAGGTGGGAAAATGTGACACAGGATTCACATTTAGGGTGAATGTGATGTTACAGGCTAGTGTTTCTGGGCAGAGAAAGCTGTGTATTTGGCTTTCTCGGGATTCTGCAGCTCTGAACCGGAACATGTAATCCTGTGTCTGGGTTTTGCTAGACACCTGCAATCTGGCTGAGTATACAGTTGTGTGGTGTTGCTCAGGGGCAGACTGACAACTCATGGGGCCCCCGGGCAATAGGGGATCATGGGGCCCCTGTGTCCTTGCCCAAACTCAAAAAAGCCTATGAAAAAGGTACCAGGGGGCATCTCATGGGGCTCCCTACTGACCCCGAGTCCTCGGGCAGTGCCCGAGTTTCCAAATGGTCAGTCCGCCCCTGGTGTTGCTATATACTCAGGTCTGAGAATAGCTCAGAGCTCCCAGTTTGGAGAACAACAAAATGGCAGTTGACTAGTGCAAGGCCTGCCTAAAGATGGTTTGTAATAAATCCTAAGCGGAGTAGTATATCATTGCATAGGTGAATGCAATATTGTATTTATTTGATCTCTTGGATCATAGAAAAGGTAGACATGGACATGGTGAACATAATACAATTATGTTATAAAATCAAAGAATTAAAAATAGAAAACCGTTCGGCATCTTCAAGTTAGCTGTGTGGACAATAAATGGTCAATATGATGCTGTGGGGATTCTTCTGTGTTCATTAGATGAGGTTTCCATACTTCTTAACCTAATCAATTCGTTTTTCCTCTTTATCTGTTCCTTATAATGAACATCAAAGCATATATGAAGAGGTTCCTAGGAATAAATAGTGGAATGTAATGAATTCAAAAGAATCATGAAGCTTGTCGTCATCATTTAAACCTTGTAGGATGCACATATAGGAATCTAATTGCTGATTAAATATTCATCTCATTACCTTCTGAGTGAGTGTACCATATCTTGTAAATGATGAATATAAATTTCCTTGTATGACCAAGAATAGTGGGTAGTTATCCAAAAAATTAAATGTGTATAGGTGAGTTTTCTAAAAAATAAATAAATAAAATTAGTGAAATAATATAGAGTGATACATAAGTGTAGCTCGTATATTAATATAGTGAATTTACCATATTGGAAACCTGGTCAATTTCCACTTATGAAGTGAAAAACATTCATATATTGGTAATGATGATGGAATCCAAAAATTTAGTAGAATGGAAGTCTCTATAAGTTGCATTCGGACATTCATGTTTCCTTAAAATGTGCCCTTAAAAGGGTTCCAAAAATTTCTCTTATACAAGAGCTGATGCGGTTCCTATAGGGGTGCGTGAGACTAAAGTCCCATATCAGAGGTAGTAAAACAAGTGGTATTGAATATACCCAATGGATCAAAAAATTCTCCTCAAGATAGAGCTCAAATTACCCTATCGTGGCATGGGGTATATATTGTCCCGTATCAAAAAATTGCGGTTTATAATGACTCAGCTTAATGTAATGGTACTTGCCACCGGTGGAAGTGAACTGAGTCACCTAAAATTATATATATATATATATTTTTTTTTTTTTTACAAAAACGTCATAGTAACACAGTATTTCTCACACACAGCATAAGAAATACTTGCAACTACACCCCAAAACACATTCTAGTACTTATGCTGAATATGGGGATACCACATGTATGAGACTTTATCTCGTTCAGGCACCTTCAGGCATAATTCACTTTAAGACCAGGCTGTTTGTTTAAAAGTAAAAATCAGTATTTTTACCAAAAAATTACTTTAGAACCCTCAAACCTTATATATTTTTTTTTGCAGAGGCCCTATAGAATCATTTGGTGGGTTTTGCAATTTTTTATGCCACAAGATATTTGTGCAACAGTTTTTTGGAATGCAATTTTATTGGCGATAATACACTTAACCCCCCGGTCACATCAAAGCCGATTTTAAAATCGTGCAACTTACAGTGAAATCGCACGATTTCAAAATCAGGTGACCTGCCGATTTCGTTGTGAGTTGTAAGACATCTGACACAGATGTCTATGCAAAGCGCAACAAAAGTAGTGCATGTACTACTTTAGAAGTCGGTGTGGCTCCGACAATACCTCACGAGTGGTGTGACTGCTGTTTATGTATACGTATGAGACCAATGCGTGCGTTCTTATTTGCACGTGAGCAAGGGGAGAAAGAGGTGCTTTAAATTATTTTTATTATTATTTATTTGTTCTGTGCACTGGGACACTGTGACAGATGTTTTTGTGCACTGTACACTGGCAGATGTTTTTGTGCACTGTACACTGTGACAGATGTTTTTGTGCACTGTACACTGGCAGATGTTTTTGTGCACTGTACACTGGCAGATGTTTTTGTGCACTGTACACTGTGACAGATGTTGACATGTGGACAGGGACAAATAGTGCTTGGTTCATTTTGGAGAGATGAATCTAGAGTTGGTCTATACTGTAACTGTAGATAGTTTAAGCAAAATGTCAAAGATGAACCACATTTTTTTATATGCAGGATTCAGAGAAACTGATACAACAGGCTGAAGCTGAAGAGAATGCAGTCTTTTTATCTTGCATTAAACAACCAGAATCTAAAAGTGGGAAACTGACCATACCTCCTCCACCCATCTTAATTCGTAGAACAGAAAATTCAATGGTCTTTAAACCAGCTCCTTTCACATCTGACATTAAGGTAATTACAACCATTGACAACATGGCCATAGACAACATGGGCAGCAATCATTGAATCAGGTTTATAATAAAAGTCTTATTGTTCAATGAAGTGCAGTTATACTAGTTCATGTGCTTTTCCGTATTTTGCACAGGTGGCTTGGTACTGCTTATTTGGACGCTGTGTTACAGGACCCAGTTTAAAAGTAAGGCTAAATGACCACCATCTTCCTGGGACAGGAGTAGAGGTAATCTGATTTTTATTTTGCTGTGATTTATTTCTCATAACTGAGACTTGCAATTTGCTGCATTTGTTTGAAGTAGAAATTCAGGAAAAAATTTTTTTTGGTACAGCCACAAGTGAAATAGTTTATCTGACTATACTATTGTTGCCTGTCAGCTGGTTACTGCAAATCTTGGATTTTTTCAGCCCAAGTACTACACACAGCATTCTTCCAGGGCTGACAGTTCTGACACTCATAGAGTAAAAGATCATGACATTCACTCCCCCTCGTCTTCTCCCCTCGTCCATTAATAAAAAGCCTTGTATTCATTTTACAGAATACAAGGCATTCTTTTGATGAACAATGGAAGATACCATTGTTTACCTGTGCCTCACCCCCCCCCCATGTCTATTTAAAGAATGCTTTGTATTCTGTGAAAAGTGTACAAGGCTTTTTGCAAATGAACAAGGGAAGAGTGAAGGACATGGTCCTGGCTCTGTACTGTAGCCAATTTGCCAATAGCCACAAAGGATATATATCCATTTTGTGTTCCCCAAATGCCCCTGAAAACCCAGTTATTATACTGTAAAAGTAGCAGTGACCTCATCACTGTGTTGAAAATAGCCTTTGCAAAGAACAGAGCTGTGGGAAGGACCCAGTAAGTCCACCTACTACAAGCTGCCTCAGAAAACTACAAAGGGGCGGACACAATACCAGTCATCCTGCATAAGGATAGAGAGCAGAAGTGGCTGGTCTTTATTACAGAAGACTCTTGCACAAAAACAAAGTTTCATGCTGGAGCACTGCACAGATCTGGAAGAAATACACTAAGCATACCAAGATTCAAGGAAGAATACATGTGACTTTTGTATTTAAACAATATTTGCTTATCCATTAATTCAGCATTAATGCTTGGTGAATATCAGATTCACTGCTTCTTACATATGCTCCTCATTGCTAATCTTTGTTTATTTCTTCATAGGTTCCAGCAAATGGCAATATCTTACTGGAGGCCAGGGGCCTGAAAAAAAATGAGAGGTACATCTTTGCTGTAGCTGCATATTCAAGAGATGGACGTCTCATTAGGGATTCAGTTGGAGAAACCACTAAACCAATTCTTGCATTTCCTTCCCTCTCTGTTCCTGCCACCTGGGCCTACCTAGCACAAGTAAGTTTCATTAGTATAGATTAGATACAAAACCATAGATATAATTGAATACATGGTTTAAATACATGTATGCTAATGTTATACAGCCGGTCTTGTGACTTGCCCATCTTTGCCAAACTACTCTGCTACTTCCAGTTCACCTTTACTGTTTCCTACATCACCTTCCTGCTAATCCATTGGAAATGATGACACAGATTCATTGTCTAACAACAAGCTGGATGTGGACAGGGTTTTAGGAAGCTGTATAGCTGATGTAGGAAATAAGTATATCCCAGAGGCACAGCATTAAGTGAATTGAAATTTTTTTCAAAGTGGGGGGAAATCTGCTCTTAGACATCAGTCCTGAAAAATGGAAGATTTCCCCTCATCTCTTGTTCTAGTGACACTCAAAATGTTGTGGATATACTAACACTTTTTGTTCCACTGCCATTGATCAGCAGGACCCAGCGAGACCATAGAGAGAAATTAAAACTTTACAGGGGTTCTAACCCTTGCTTACTCTTCCCAAAACAAGGATACACTTTTAAGTTTGAAATTAAGTTACATACAGCTGTGTTCAAAATAATAGCAGTCAGACATCACTAACCTGATCAATCACTGTTTTTGTTAGAAATGATATTTCTACATGGCAAATAATTTACTAGCAGGTGATCCAACAGACCCAACAGTCATGACATGCATGCTGCTGATTCTGTGTAATTGAATCACTAATTGAAAGGGGCATGTTCAAAATAATAGCAGTGTGGAGTTCTATCAGTGAGGTCATTCATTCTTTGAAAAACAGGTGGCAATTATTGCCCTTATTTAAGGAAGGAAGGCAGCAAATGTTGTACATGCTGGTTACAGTGCATTTCTCTCTGAAATTCTGAGTAAAATGGGTCGTTCCAGACATTGTTCAGAAGAACAGCGTTCCTTGATTAAAAAGTTGAATGGAGAGGGGAAAACATATAAAGAAGTGCAGAAAATGATAGGCTGCTCAGCTAAAATGATCGCAAATGCTTTAAAATGGCAACGAAAACCTGAAAAACGTGGAAGAAAGCGAAAAACTACCATTCGAATGGATAGAAGAATAGCCAAAATGGCAAGGACTCAGCCAACAATCAGCTGTAGGAAGATCAAAGAAGGTCTAAAGTTACCTGTGAGTACTGTTACAATTAGAAGACGCCTATGTGAAGCCAAGCTATCTGCAAGAAGCCCCCGCAAAGTCCCACTGTTGAAAAAAAGACATGTGCTGAAGAGGTTACAATTTGCCAAAGAGCACATTGACTGGCCTAAAGAGAAATGGCGCAACATTTTGTGGACTGATGAAAGTAAGATTGTTCTTTTTGGGTCTAGTGGCCGGAGACAGTTTGTCAGACGACCCCCAAACACTGAATTCAAGCCACAGTACACTGTGAAGCCAGTGAAGCATGGTTGCGCAAGCATCATGATATGGGGATGTGTCAACGTCCTACCTTTTCCCTGAGGTTATGTTACTCCATGTGCTGGCGTCCATCTTGGATTCTGCTGTGCATGATGGGAATCCTTTTATGCCTTCAGGTCTCTGTGGTCCATCCCCAAGAGGGGTGTGGCTGATGACATATAAGCCTGTGGCCCGCACATGCTCTTTGCACTTGTGTCTTGTGTCTTTGTGTTGCTATTACTCTGTTCTGACTCTCGTGACTCTCCTGGTATCTGATTCGGCTTGTGTCTTTGTGTTGCTATTACTCTGTTATGACTCTCGTGACTCTCCTGGTATCTGATTCGGCTTGTGACTTGACTATTCTTTGTATTCTCCCTTGATCTGACCCTCTGTTGCTGAACCCGGCTCGTGACCTGTGATTCTCATCTGCTGTCCTGTACTGTTTTGTCCTGTTGTTGTTGACCCGGCTTGTTTGACTACTCTTTTGTCTCTTCCACCAGCTACACGCCATTGGCGGCGGCCATTACCGCAGCTGAGGTGTCTTGGGGGCCGCGACCTGGTTCCTGGCTGCATCAAGTCCATCCCCACCATCAGGGGCCCTGGTGAAGGGCAGCCTGGGACTTAGACTCCGTGCCCTGGGGGACTTCGGTCTGTGGGTAGTGGTTGTCGTCAGCCAGTGCGTTACATTGTTAGGCCTGCCTGTCCGTTCCTCGGCTCCTGCCCTGACAGGATGTTTCTCATACTACAGTGTTGGGCCTATTTATCCATACCAGGGATCATGGATCAGTTTGAATACATCAGAATACTTGAAGAGGTCATGCTGCCTTATGCTGAAGAGGAAATGCCCTTGAAATGGGTGTTCCAACAAGACAACGACCCAAAACACACCAGTAAATGTGCAACATCTTGGTTCCAGACCAACAAGATTGACGTTATGGAGTGGCCAACCCAATCCCTGGATCTTAATCCAATAGAAAACTTGTGGGGTGACATCAAAAATGCAGTTTCTGAGGCAAAACCAAGAAATAGAGAAGAACTGTGGAATGTAGTCCAATCATCCTGGGCTGGAATACCTGTTCACAGGTGCCAGAAGTTGGTTGACTCCATGCAACACAGATGTACAGCAGTTCTCAGAAACAGTGCTTATACAACTAAATATTAATTAAGTGATTCAAAGGAAAGCAACATCTTCAAACATTTTTCAGTTTATATAGTGAATGTTTGAGTTTGTAAAGAAGAATACAAACACTGCTCTTTTTTTGAACAGTCTAATATTCACTTTTCTTTAATTGTTTTAGAGAAACAACACAAATTTGATATATTTTTCTTCATGTTTTGATTTGGAATAGAATGTGTAGTGTTCCCAATGCATTTGTGTGTATGGAAATAAAAGCTATTAGAAGGATTTTGAGCTTTATTCACTTTTTTCAACACACTGCTATTATTTTGAACACAACTGTACATTTGGATGGGGATGTCCATACTCTTTCTCACTTGGCATGTTAGAACTTCTTGTTGGTGGCATTGGCGGTTGGGTCTAGTGACTGTTAAAAAGACATCATGGGGTTTATTTACTAAAGCTGGAGAGTGCAAAATCAGACTCACTTCTGCATAGAAACCAATCAGCTTCCAGGTTTCATTGCCAAAGCTTCATTGAATAAGCTGAGGTTAGAAGCTGATTGGTTTCTATGCAGAAGGGAGTCTGATTTTGGACTCTCCAGCTTTAGTAAATAAACCCCCATGAGTTTCCATGGAATCCAGATACAGGCTTAAGAAATTGTTTAACTGTGCTTTGAGTTATTTCAGATTAGATAAATCATGAGTATGTTTATATATAACAGCTTTATTAGTTGCCTTCATTGTAATGCTATTAGACATCTTGCTGCAAATAGAGCACATATATCTTTAAATCTTTCTGAACTTTGAAGTCCAGAACTTAGTTGCAGGCTAAAAATAAATATGGTTGCATTATATCGATGTTCTTTTAGATATTTCCAGTTCACATTTCTAAACTTTAACTGATCAAATGATCTTTATTTGTATAGCTTATTCCCATGTAGACTTCTGATGGTGTTCAGGACCATATGTTACAAGCATTTGCCAGACATCACTAACAACTTGTAAACTACTATAAGTGAACACTAGCTTGATGCCAGAGATTTCTAGAGACCAATAAGGGTTGTAGGAGACTACTAGAGGCCAACAGCACATGTAAAGAAGCCAATGACATGTTGCAAGGGATTCCACCTTTCAAATGCTGCAAGAGACTGCTAAATAGCATTGACAAGCTATGAGAGATTATTTGAGATTGCTAATATACCACAAATAGTATACAATTCAGAAATGTCAGCATTTTTAGCTTGATAATGAATGTTTATGAATCCTATTTCTAGAAATGTCCTAAACATGTCTGGCTGTTTAATTGTGCAGATGAGTGTGTGTTTCAAGCAGTACTAGTCTGTTCTTGGAAATTAAATAATAATTTCTTTCTACAGAGTGCATATCATGTTGGTAACTATAAAGTGGCTAAGAGGGCATGCTCTGTGCTGTGGAACTACTTTGTTTTGTCACCAGTTCCTTCATCTTCTGATCTGGCTATATCAGAAAATAGGGAAGGTTATTTACATCAGACAAGGTAAGTAGAAATGTATCTGTGAATCTTTCCTTGTTATTTCCTGCCTTCTAATTTTAAATCATGACAGGCCCTCATAGTATAGCAATCCCAACAAAAAAAACATGTTTTGTTTGTGGAAAAATTAGCTAAATAGGTAGGTTGCAAGTGCTTCTGTCCTGGCCAGTCAAAAGCAGCTTGCAGCTAGCCATAGTATAGGCTGCAGTCTCCATTTGCCTACTCTAATAGTGGCCATTTCTGTTGTGAAGCATATAGGGGTTTACTGGGCTTTCAGTTATAATACAGAAAATACTGAAACTCCAGCTCCTGCCCTAACTGTTTTCTATTGTTATGAATAGAGTTGGGAAGGGCTAGAACCTCCTGCAAGTTTTAGGCCTGTAGACCGTGTTTGATGATGCGGTACAGAATTTAGGGTGGGTGTCTTAGAGTCCTTTATAGAGATGTTGCCTAGCTGGCATTTGGTTCAGCAAAACGCAGAACTTGTTGTGTACACCTCTATTGTTGTGACTTGTTTAAGCTGGCCACTCGAACTGACCAATCAATACCCAAATATATATTGAAAAAAATGTCAGGTGTAGAGCTGAGCATACGTACAGTATCTCACAGAAGTGAGTACACCCCTCACATTTTTGTAAATATTTTATTGTATCTTTTCATGTGACAACACTGAAGAAATTACACTTGTAAAGTAGTGAGTGTACAGCTTGTATAACAGTGTAAATTTGCTGTCCCCTCAAAATAACTCCGCAAACAACCATTAATGTCTAAATCGCTGGCAACAAAAGTGAGTATACCCCTAAGTGAAAATGTCCAAATTGGGCCCAAAGTGTCAATATTTTGTGTGGCCACCATTTTTTTTTCCAGCACTGCCTTAACCCTCTTGGACATGGAGTTCACCAGAGCTTCACAGGTAGCCACTGG